GCTGAATTTAGGCCTGTCGGGTCGCACGTGGGTAGGAAACATCCTATAAAAATTTCAGCTTCCTTGCTTCACTGGTTCCCGAGTTGAAACTGCCAGATAAAATACATTCGGAACACACACTTACATTTGACAATATGCGTTTTGTGCAACTGTTGCAGCACAAAACGCGTGAAACCCGCTCAGCACCGCGGTACATCCAAAAATTTTGTTCCGGACTTCAAGAACAGCCAAAAAAAGCATTAACTGTGCTTGGCACTCAGTAGGTTATTTCTCTTATGCTTGCATAAGATGATGTCTGCAGACTTGAATTTGTTATAACAAAACGCCTAAATGTCACTAAAGTAGCGAATCGTGGAAAAAAAACGATGCAGTGTAAAATTCATAATGCATACCGTTTTGCCTGCTCCTGGCACACTAAGCACTGAATAAATTAAGCTGCCCGGTGGTACAGCATTTCGAGATTTCATTAATCTCTCCAGAAATATTTTATTGTGATCAACACTGGATTCCATATTCTCATTGCTAGAAAGCAGAACATCAGGAATTCACAAAGAATAATTGGCCAACGTACGGGCTGCCCGTGCGAAGATGCGATTTTTGCACAGTTCTCCGCAGTTTTTGTCGCTTCCGGCATCGGTTTTTTCGGCAGATCCGTCTAGCTAAACAAATTAAGACTGGCCGCCAAAACTGGTAGGAATACCCCCTTAAAATTTCAGCTTTCTAGTTTTCCTGGATCCTGAGTTAGCACCTTACTGGAAAAAAACTTTCGCGAGCCTGCACGTGCCACGCATACTCGATGTCTGGGATTAAGCTCGTTGAGACTTACTTGGACGGGGAGCATCCTCTTAAAGTTTCAGCTTTCTAGCTTCTCAGATCCCCGAGTTATCAACTTACCCGAAAAGTTTTGGCAGGCCCGTACTTGGGTACCACGCTTACCCGGGAGCTGGGTTTGAGCTCATTAATACCTATCTGGACCGGGAACATTCTGTTAAGATTTCAGCTTTCTAGCTCCTCAGAGCCCCGAGTTATCAAACCACCCAAAAATCTTGGTGGGCCTGTACGCGAGTACCACGCTTAGCTGGGGCTGGGTTTGAGCCCATTAATATCTACTTAGACGGGGAACATTCCCTTAAAATTTCAGCCCTCAAGCAACTCTGGTTCCCGAGTTAGCATCTTACCCGCAAAAAACTTTGGCGGGCTCTTACGTGGGTACCACGCGGGCAAAACCCCTCGTTTCGGGAATGGGGGCTTGTATGCTCATGTAGATTAAACCCCTCAATTTTCAGCCCCATAGCTTTTGTGGGTCTCGAGTTGAAAAATCGGCACAGACGCGCAGCGTACACACAGACACACATAAAAAAACCTCTCGTCAATATGCGTTTTCTGCATTGCATTGCTGCAAAAAACGCATAATACAAGCAAGAATTCACAAGCTTTTAAACCCAGGCTGGAACGCACCAGCAGAGCCGGTGCGATTATGCGTTCTTGCACGTTTCGTACCGTAGCAAGATCGCAAGGAGTCAATGTAGCTAACCCTGTGAAATACTGGCCTCGAAGTTTCGGAAGTTAATTGTGCAGCTATGTGGTATGTCAGTTGTAGGTGTCGACTTCAGTGGACCCGACAAATGAAGAAGTTGCTTGTTCGCAAAAAAAAGGCCACGCTAGAAGAGTTAAATTTAAAATTTTTTAGTCGCACATGAGCGGGGAACATACCTCTTAAACCGGGAAGTTAATTGTGCAGCTATTTGGTATGTCAGTTGTAGGTGTCGACTTCAGTGACCCGACAAATGGAAAGTTGCTGGTCCGCAAAAAGCTCCACGCTAGAAGAGCTAAACTTGAAATTTTTTAGTCGTACATGAGCGAGGAACATACCCTTAAAATTAAAGCCCCCAGCTTTTCCCGTT